TTCATGAGAGCTACACATTCCAAAAAAGTTGGGACAGGTAGCAATAAGAGGCCGGAAAAGTTAAATGTACATATAAGGAACAGCTGGAAGACCAATTTGCAACTTATTAGGTCAATTGGCAACATGATTGGGTATAAAAAGAGCCTCTCAGAGTGGCAGTGTCTCTCAGAAGTCAAGATGGGCAGAGGATCACCAATGCCCCCAATGCTGCGGCGAAAAATAGTGGAGCAATATCAGAAAAGAGTTTCTCAGAGAAAAATTGCAAAGAGTTTGAAGTTATCATCATCTACAGTGCATAATATCATCCAAAGATTCAGAGAATCTGGAACAATCTCTGTGCGTAAGGGTCAAGGCCGGAAAACCATACTGGATGCCCGTGATCTTCGGGCCCTTAGACGGCACTGCATCACATACAGGAATGCTACTGTAATGGAAATCACAACATGGGCTCAGGAATACTTCCAGAAAACATTGTCGGTGAACCCAATCCACCGTGCCATTCGCCGTTGCCGGCTAAAACTCTATAGGTCAAAAAAGAAGCCATATCTAAACATGATCCAGAAGCGCAGGCGTTTTCTCTGGGCCAAGGCTCATTTAAAATGGACTGTGGCAAAGTGGAAAACTGTTCTGTGGTCAGACGAATCAAAATTTGAAGTTCTTTTTGGAAAACTGGGACGCCATGTCATCCGGACTAAAGAGGACAAGGACAACCCAAGTTGTTATCAGCGCTCAGTTCAGAAGCCTGCATCTCTGATGGTATGGGGTTGCATGAGTGCATGTGGCATGGGCAGCTTACACATCTGGAAAGGCACCATCAATGCTACTCTGCAACTACATATCAACTAGCGGTCATTAGAGTATTAGTATGTCTGCTACTGTAAATATATGCTAACACTTTATTTTGATGGTCCTACAGATAAACTGACTCTTTGCAAGTACGTCAACTTACTCTACCATACTAGATTATACCATTCTGGAGCATACTAATACTCTAATGAGAGTTAGTTGGTATGTAGTTCCAAAGTTGCTTAAAGTCGATTGATTAAGGGGACCATCAAAATAAAATGTAACCATATAAAACATTGCATTTTTTTCAGTTGGTGTATTAAGCTCACATCAATTAATTAACATTAGCACCACAGGAAACACTCAAATAACACTCAACATCTAACCACTCACAAGCTGTAGTACGATACTGTGCAGATCTTAAATAAACAATCTCAAACAGCCATAAGATCAGATATCAGATCAGATTTGCTTTGAGCTATTTTTATTGTAATATCAGTTTGATTATTTTGATGGTACCCTTTAAACAGCTGTTGATAAGTAACTCTGCAACTACATATCAACTAGCGGTCATTAGAGTATTAGTATGTCTGCTACTGTAAATATATGCTAACACTTTATTTTGATGGTCCTACAGATAAACTGACTCTTTGCAAGTACGTCAACTTACTCTACCATACTAGATTATACCATTCTGGAGCATACTAATACTCTAATGAGAGTTAGTTGGCATGTAGTTGCAAAGTTGCTTATAGTCGATTGATTAAGGGGACCATCAAAATAAAATGTAACCATATAAAACATTGCATTTTTTTCAGTTGGTGTATTAAGCTCACATCAATTAATTAACATTAGCACCACAGGAAACACTCAAATAACACTCAACATCTAACCACTCACAAGCTGTAGTACGATACTGTGCAGATCTTAAATAAACAATGTCAAGATATTATACAGTCCATTATTCTGTAAATTAAGTAGATTTAATATGGTGTTCATTGTGTGTTATAAATAATCATACTCTTACAATAAAATATATTTATATAGCTTATAACCACAAATACGTAAGTATTATGATGTATTATAATTGTTATTATGATTATTCATGAGTTGATATAACATATCATAAGTTTTTTTATAATGCATTATGCATTCATTATAATGCCTTAAGAATACCCTTATAATGTATTATAAATACGGGCTTCATAGAAAGTGTTACCAGAAATTTTAACCAAAGTATGTTATAGACTTTTCATTAAGATCCTAAATAATCCTATGACCCCTTTAAATGGCATATAAATTTGTGTGTCATCAGCATAAAAATGGAAAGCAATTCCATATTTACAAAAAATCGACCCTAAAGGTAAAATATATAACGAGAATAAAATAGGGACAAGAATAGACCCTTGAGGAACCCCGCATGTCAGTGGTACAGAGGATGAAAAAGTCTGACCAATGTTGACAAAAAAACTCCTATTCGATAAGAATGATCCAAACCAATCGAGAGCAGAACCCTGAATGCCAACCACCTCCTCAATACGGGAGATAAGTGTCCTGAGTCCCTTGATAATAATATTTCATTTAGTACTCTTAACAGTGCAGACTCGGTACTATGGTAGGTCTTAAAGGGGTCATATGATGCTTTTTTAAAGATCATTATTTTGTGTATTTGGTGTAACAGAATATGTTGACATGCTTCAATGTTCAAAACACACATAATTTTTCAAATACTGTACATTATTGTAGGTCCTCTATGCCCCGCCTCTCTCAAACGCTTCGTTTTCTACAAAGCCCCTCCTTCCGACAAGCGCAGTCTGCTCTGATTGGCCAGCTGACCCAGTGCATAATCGCCAGCTTCAGCTTTCAAAGTAAATGTAAAGACGGAGCCTGAAAGGGGAACAGAGTCTCGTGACAGACACAGTGATGAATGTGTTTGAAGTACACAAGCCACAGTTAAGACAGCTGACTCCACTGTGATGTGTCTCACTCTCTCTCTCTCTCTTGCTCGTAAGCAATCTTAAAGATTTCTAAATGCATCTACTTTCGGAAGGCCAAATAAAGTGCTTTTGCTTTCGCCTAGAAACACACAGCGTCTCCCTGACATGCTGCTTCAACACTAACTGCGGTTACTGAAACCACGCCTTCTTTCTTTGCGTGCACATTTGGGCGCATTATGCTAATATTTCCACATAGTGAGGTAGATATGTGGGGGCGTGTTAGAACGAGCCGTTTTAGGACCGCGTGGAAGAGTCTTTACTTTGATAAAGAATATCTCTTTGGTTTTGAGACTTTAGTCTTTGCAACTTCAGGGATCTTATCTATGCACAATCAGCTTGTAACATTCCAAAGAGAAAGGAAAACTTGAAATTGCATCATATGACCCCTTTAAAACCTGATTGAAAAACCTCATAAATAGCATTCTGATCCAAAAAGCTCTGCAACTGAGTTAGAACAATCTTCTCTAAGAACTAAGACAAAAAAGGAAGTTCTGAAATAAGTCTAAAATTGGTTTGGACTCTGCTATTTTAATTCAAAATTATTTTTGTACTATTTTTGCACTTGGTTTGAACAGGCCTTGTGAGTGATAGTGACACATTCTGAAAGTTTGCTGTCATTATTTATGTTTTTCTATGACATTGTCATCAGACCATCATATGACTACTGAACTCAAGTCCTTATTGATTATTCTCCTAAATGTTTTCTTCAGACCATCATATGAACGTTGACCACAGGTCATCATTGATTTATTCTCTCACATGATGCTGTCTTCAGACGACTTAGGGTCAACATTCATATGATGGTCTGATGATAACATCATGTAGAAGAATAAATCAACTATGACCCTAAGCTCCACCAACACCAATAACGCAGGAAAGTTTATGCTTTGTTAGCCAAGGCTGGATATTTTGCTAATTGAAAGTTTGATTAGTATTGGTTTGGTTGTTTGCTCATGTTTGCTAGCTAGCTAAGTTTTATTTTTTTTATTTAAGCACACTATAAAAAACAATATCTAAATATTACTTTCAGTTTTGGCTGGTTGCAGCTTGGCTAACTCACTGAAAAAAAAAAATTTGTATTACTTATTATTTTATTACTTAGTACCCCCAATTGTAAGTCGCTTTGGATAAAAGCGTCTGCAAAATGACTAAATGTAAATGTATTTTTGACCTGTTTTGCAAAATGACTTAAGATATTATGTATTTTTTATTGAAAACTGTATCAAATTTCTCTTAGTTTAGGGTCAAAAAAATCTTGTTTAACCTTTGAATTAAGATTATTATTAAGATTATACCACCTCCTGAAGTGGTTTGAGCGATCAGATTTAAATCCGTCTTGAAAGCGTTTCAGAGGGCATTTACACCTGCTCTTTTCACAATCAGATAGCTATACCATCAGAGAAAACGAATGAAGTGAGCAGCTGTAAACAGGCCCTTAGTAAACATTTAGAAGCATTACATAATGTTTATTAATAATTTATTAATGAAAGTTATTATAAAGTGTTACCCCTACTATATCTTTATAAAGACACTTCAAGAAGACCTATACTGCATTATAAGTAGTTATAGTCACATTTATTTTATTTTTATAATTGTTATAAGTGATTTATCAGTGAAAGTTATTATAAAGTGTTACCCCCTACTATATCTTTATAAAGACGCTTCAAGAAGACCTATACTGCATTATAAGTAGATTTAATGCATTGATCTGGGGATAGAGCAGATATTACGTGGAGCGGGAGAGAACTTTTGGGAAATCATTCAAAGAAAGATGTTTGTAAATGCATCGCTTGTCTTAGAGAAACAGTTTGCATTGTGCCCCCCTGAAAACTTGCCCATTTGTCCATATAGTTAATCAGCCTATGCACATGCTCTTTCCTACATTTTGAGCCTAACTTATGTTGCATATTTTCTCCCTTGACGTCATTATTTTTATTTGTATAGTTCAGTGGAGTATACAGACATCAGATTCAGAGAAAAGATGAACAATGAAAATGAGAATCTAAATGTGTAATTAACTCATTTGTCTCAATTCACCCTTCCCCGGGAGTTTGATTGACAGGATGTCTGACCAATCATAACGCAGAATCTGCAATTTTGTCGGTCAGACAAACCAGAAAGGAGAGTACATTAACTTCAGTGGACTTGAACTTGAAAAATGGTGTGTATTGTCTCTCTGTGGTTGAAATGAGATACAAAATACCTTCTGATGTTCATTCATGTTTATTTTGTGCTATAACTAGTAATAAAGGAACATGTGCTGCTTGATCTGAGACGCTACAGCGATACGTCACAACACATTAAAGAGCCACAAAACGGTAACTAAGGGAGCAGGTCTTTGCGAAGGGTCAATTACATATCTGAATAATGATAGCACTCAGTTTAATTGTAGTTTAACTGTATATGGAAACAATACTTTAAATACTGTTATATGTAGAGGTACAAAATCATTTTACAGTAAGTAAATTGCATTGTACAATTACATGCCTCTCAATGCATTTCACAAGATGCAACATCCACCTGAACAGCGCGCACTCATCTGCTGCTGTAAAGCCTTCATCTGTTCACGGTGCTGCTGCATCATCATAGCCATAGACTCCTCATGTCTCTTATTGGAGTTCTCCAACAGCTCTGCAAACTCTCGAGCTCTATTACTCTCGGCTTCAGAGTTCTGTCTCTTGAACGCTTCCATCTCCTGGCTCATCCTCTCAGCCTTCTCCTGAAAGCCCTTCTCCAGCAGAGCGGCCTGCTCCCTCAGTTTGCTGTCCATGGCACGATCGGCCTCCTCTCTCTGAAGCCTCATCTCCTCATCCATCTTCTCCTTCATCTGTCTCATCCTCTCTTCATTACTCTGTCTTTCCGCATCCATCTTCTCTAGTAACTGTCGCTGCGTCCACTTTGAACCCTTTCCATCCACAGTGTATTATACATTTATGCTATTATCTAGGTATCCAGTCCTGCTCTTGGAGGGCCAGTGTCCTGCAGAGTTTAGCTCCAACCCCAATTAAACACATCTGCACCATCTAATCAAGGTCTTACTAGGCATACTAGAAACTTCCAGGCAGGTGTGTTGAGGCAAGTTGGAGCTAAACTGCAAGACAGTAGCCCCCCAGGAGTTTTCGGCACCCCTGATCTAGAGCAGTGGTTCCTAATTCCAGTCCTTGCATACCACCGCTCTGCATATTTTGCATGTCCAGGGCTGCCAACTCTCACGCTGACTCATGCAATTGACACTTTTCTCACCCCTCACATCCATTTTCTCACGCAGTCAAAACACCATCAGTTAAAACTGTAATAATAGGATATTGGTGAAACAGATTTGGTAAAGGCTCCAGTGCACATTTGCGTTTGCGCTCTGGAAATCGCCAAAAGATTCTATTTACAATGTGTTTTCGTAGAAAACCGTAAGAAAAACCCAAAAGCAATTTGGCAAAAAAAAACACATTTTTTATAATAATAATACATTTTGGCACAAGTTGGCAGCCCTGCATGTCTCTCTTATTGAACACACCTAACTCAGATAACCAGCTCGTTGTAAGAGAGCTCCATGAATGAACTGCGTTCCGACTGACATGGTCCCTACCACAGTGTTGATTGCTCCCTACTCCCTGAGCATGGGAAATCCACTGAAGTTTACTTCACTTCAGAACAATCGTTCACGGATTTGCGCTAAGCCGCAGTCTGCAGCATCTTCACACAGACAAAACTTACTAGAGAAGTGACATAATATACACCTGTGTAAATAAATACTATTTAAATTCACATCTCGCACACATTAATGCCCTTTAAATGGAACATATACGCTCCCTTCCAACTGGAATCATGGTGAAATATCCTGTGATGTCCACTTTACAAAGCACTTATGGTCGAATAGAACAAAATATCTAAAGTATAAGAGATACATACAAAATGTGCAGAGCAGGGGGTCGCAAGGACTGGAATTGGGAACCACTGATCTAGAGTTGGAACAGGGAGAACACAATCTGCTGTGGATGAACAACACTGGTTCAGGGAGTAGATATGTTGACTTGGAGATAGGTTGACTAGGATTCCCAGCTTGAATCCCAGTTTCACCTAACTAACCAATTGGTGAAGTGTCTTTGGGCAAGACACTGAACATCACTTGCTCCTGATGGTTGGGTTATGGCACCTTGCATGGTAGCCTTCACCAATTTTCGGTAGATCTGACTTGTAAGTCTGGCTGATTCATTTATTTTAAATGTATTTCTGACAAAAATAAAAATAATGGCTAACAATGTTCTTAGTCTAAACAGTGATACGACTGAAGATTATGCCTCTCAGCTTACCTCACCAGCTCCATAACATTGTACCTCTAACTATTGATGGCTCTGTACTAGAGTTTCAAATAAAACTGAATGAACTTGATCTTGGAAGGGTGATATTGAATTTTTTTTGGGAAATTTCACCGATATGTGAAACATACAGTTAGGACTTCTTTTTTTTTTTTTCCTCCTTTAGACATATTGTAAAGTTGCATCCTATGCTATCATTTTCAGTAGTAGAAAAACTGATTTGAAACTGATATCTTTGTCTTTTTTTAAATAAGTCAATTTAAACAAACTGCAGTACACCCAAAACTTGGATCTTAAATAGAACCATAATAAGTGATGTAAGTGTAAGAAAGATCTGTTGATAAACCATTAAATTAACCATTACAAAACTCATTACAAGAGCTCATTGTGATAGTAATGTCTCTGATTTCGAACTGTCTGTCTTGCCTGTCTCTGTCAAGGAATCTAAACCTGAGCTATCTGTCTGTCCTGATTTAGTCATTGAGTCTGTTGTTGAACCATCCGTCTGTCCAGTTTCAGTCACTGAAATGTCTACCAGTCCAGCTTCAGTTAATACAACAAATTTTGAGCTGTCAGTCTATATGGGATATCAGCCCATGAATATGTTTGTGAACTACCTGCCAGTCCAGTTTCCCTCAATGAGTCTGATTTTTAACTGTCTGTCTTGCCAGTTTCTGTCACTGAACTGTCTACTTCAGCCTCTGTCAATGCTCTTGATTGTGAACTATCTGCCAGTCCTATTCCAGCCAATGCATTTAATTATAAATTGTCTGTCCGTCCGGTCACTGTTAATGGACCCGATTCTGAATTATCTGTCTGTCCAGTTTCTACTAATGAGCCTGAGTGTGAATTGTCAGCCTGTTCAGTTTCAGTCAATGAGCCTGTTTATGAACTGTCTGCCCGTTCAGTTGTCACCTGGGAAACTATTAATTAACTTTTTGTGTTCTGCCTTGGCCTTTGAGGCCATAAATGCTCTGTCTGTCTTGTGTGTCTCAGTTTTCCCTAGATCCCAGTCTCTGCCATGGGTATCTACTCCAGCCTGGTGGTCTTCTGTCCCGCTCTGGTGGTCTTCTGCTCTGCCTGTTGCGTCTGCTCCGCCGTAGGGGTCTTCTGCTCCGCTGTGGTTGTCTTCTGCTCCACCTGTTCCATCTACTCCACCCTGGTGGGTTCCTGTTCAGCTGCTCCACCTGTTCCCTC